AGTTGCCCGCTCAGATGGTTGACTCATTTCCAGGCAGCTCCACGCTCACCAGACTCTTGACAGCAGTGAGGTGGGAGACAGGTCCCCAAAGGCATAATTTGAAGACAGTATATTTTACAGAGCTGTCAAGAAGTTCTTCATTTGGGCTGCCGAGCCTTTATTACTGGTGACGTGTTGTAAGACAGAGAGGACCCAACTCGCGTCTCGGATTTCAGGATGAGTTTGCAAGACTGATGGAAGAAAAAACCACACCAGAGAGAGCCCTTCTCTTCAGAGTGGAGCTTATCTGAGCTGCTACAAGCCAAGTGAGATAAACAGGGGCCCTCACAATCTGATTATCACAGTCATTTCACAGGCTTGATACCATCGTTAATCCACTGGCCACTATGAAATTAAACTGGCTGATCTGCCTGGATAGAGGCAGGGGTTGAATAGCTGAGGGATGAAAAGGAAGGGTGTAAAAGGGGAGGATGAAGGAATTCCTTTTCATCTCTTGGTTTATACAAAGCCAGCCTGAATATTCATTGTGGGTGGCAAAGTTCGGAGGAAATGGTGAGGGTTAAAAACCACAGAAACAGGAAATCTTAACTTGGGGAAGAGGAGTCTGATCACAAATATTTCCCCTAAACTTCTCTAAGGTTTGTTCCCATGCAAACACTGGGTGGTACTTGCTTTTTGGACACAGGTGGAATTTGTTGTCTGCTCCAAAATGAGAAAGGAAGAACCAGAGGTGGAATTTAAGAGCATCTACTGGGATTTTAGAGCATTCTCCAGCTGGACAAAGCAGTGAGATACACCTCGAAATTACAAAATCCCTCCTGAGGGGTAGCAGCAGCCTCCTACCCCACCTGTAAGAGTCAGGCTTTTCATGAAAATTCTGTGGTCCTGCAGGAAAAAAACCATCAGCAAAGCCACATGGTCAAGATACACCCAGAAAGGGGAGAAAAGGATGAAGCTACACCTGCAGATGCAGGGCTTGAGATTTGCAAATACGACACTCACGGGAGGCATCTCATGAAGGAGCCAGTTTTCCAGAAGGCGAGACCCTCCTCCTCAATAATCCCCTTCCCCTCCACAGTCTCTGAAGCGAAACTGCCCCAAGCTATTGCACACACACCAGATTCACTCCCCAAAAATAGTTCTTCCTCAAATAGAGGATGAAAGGCGTGAATTCCAACCCGTGCAGCCGAAGTTTGATTTTCCTGAGAGCGGCAAACTCCACCGGTTTCGGTGGACTCGGCTTTGCACTGATGTCCCCGAGATCAGAGGTGGGTCTCGGTGGCACGGAACAGTCCCCAAATTGTCCCTGGCACCGTGGGCATCCGGCTGGCTTTTGGTCCTGTCAAAACTTCCACCTCAGCAGCACCAGCTCCACAAAACCTGGGACAGCGGGAGGCTGGAAAGGCTTTCATGGAGGGAGGTGGGGGTTTGTCATCTCTCCTTTGAAGAGGTAGAGCAGCAGTCAGGTATTCCAGCCTGGCTTTTACAAACGGAGCCATGTGAGGAGTTATAAGGGGAGGGAGCTTTTAATCTCAGAGCCAGCTACAAATCGAAGGTGAACCTCATTAACTTGGACACTTTGTGTGTTAAAAAATGAGGAGCGTTTCACCTAATGAGAAGCTCTTAATGGGTGTTGTTTTTTTGCTAAATTATCATATTAACCAGAAGATAATTAACAAGCGTTTTCTTAATGTGGTGCTCCACTGATAAAATCTCATTGTCTATAAATCATCAAGACACTACAAAAAAATAAAAAAACACACCCAAAATTGCTTTTTAATCATGCTGGGCATTATGGACAAAAAGTACAGGACAATTTTAACTGTTGGGGAACTAGAAGGGAAGGACAAGAATCTCTACTCTGCTGGGGGCAGGCATAGGGTCTCTTAAGGTAAATCAAGAACTTAGGGATGGTTTTTAAAACACTTTAGAGTAGTTACAGGCACTGATATATCGCATATATATCATATTAGGGATCAGACCCAGCCAGCACAGGTTTAGGAGGGGCAGGTCCTGTCTGACCAACCTGATCTCCTTTTATGACCAGCTGACCCGCCTGGTGGATGAGGGGAAGGCTGTGGATGTGTCTGCCTGGACTTCAGCAAAGCCTTGGACACCGTCTCCCATGGGACACTCCTGGAAAAGGCTTGGCCAGGGGCACTCTGGGCTGGGTTAGGAACTGGCTGAGGGCCTAGGGAGTGGTGGGAACGGAGCTGCTTCCAGCTGGGATCCGTCCCCAGGGGTGTCCCCAGGGATCAGGGCTGGGCCCAGTCCTGTTCAGTGTCTGCACTGAGGATCTGGAGGAGGGGATGGAGGGAACCATCAGCACATTGGCAGGTGACCCCAAGCTGGGGGGAGTGTTGATGTGCTGGAAGGCAGGAGGGCTCTGCAGAGGGACCTGGCCAGGCTGGATCCATGGGCTGATTCCAACAGGATGAGGTACCTTAAAGGTACCTTTTGAAAGGAGCACAGGATCTTTAATAATCACTTGCTTTTGGGATCTTTCACTGTCAGAAAGATTATTATACACCATGCCAGGAGATGTTGCAGGTGGCCCTCCAGTAAAGCCAGTGCTGGCAAGACAGGTTGAAATTGGTGTCAGGCTCATCCCATTCCACATGAAGGTGCTCCAGCATTCTCTGTTTCCTTTCGTTTCTACCAATTTTTACTCCATGCAGCCATCAAAATAGTATCTAAGGGTTTTCCATATTAATTCTAGTCCACATCTCTATATCCCTTGCTCAAAGTGATACAAGAAAGCTGTGGTTGAACCAAAAGTTGACCTGCAGATTCCCAGTCCCTCCTGTTCCTCCCAGCCCAAATGCCTATTTAGTTGGGCTCGATGATCCTTCTGTGTCCCTTCCAACTTCCAGGGATACTCTCTCTGTGAAATATCTGCACAAGAGCACAGCTCCCACTTCTGGCTACATGAGCCAGAGGTAGACAGAGCTCCTGATACCCAACACCCTCCCCTTTGCTGGGGCATTTCCTTGACAAACCCTCCCTACCAAGCATTATTGACTTGTGACTCATTTCCACCCGAGTGATTCCTCCCAGCTCTTCCCTGTCATTTCCATTGCACTTCCTCACTGGGAAAAATCTCTGGTTTAGCACCTTTCTTACAGACACTGCTGGTGCCAGCCCAGATCTGATCAGGATCTTGCCCTTTCTGCAGAACAACCACAGAGTCACTGGCAGCAATTTCTGAGATGTCCTGGTAGCTTCTCAGTTGTACCCCTTGAGCTGCCAAATTAATTCCAGCCTGTCCTCATAGTTTTACTACTTCACAGCTCTGCCTTTCATATATATCATTTTTGCCCTCTCTGTCTGCAGAGGAACTTGGGCCAGGGAGGATTTTCCAGGGAGAAGAGGTGCTCCCTGCCCACATTCCCACAGCACCTGCAAACTGAGCTGGCTCAGTGACACAGGAACAATTTTCTTCTTGGTATCCAACCACTCTGAGCACTTGCTGTTGGGTCTGGGACACACCAGAGGGTAAAGAACAAAACTACAGAAATCAAGCTTAGAAGCAAAGAGGAGAAAAGCAAAACAGAGAGAAAACCTTCACGTCCAAACTCTTCCAGAAATCTTGGGGTTTGGATGCGAATCCTTCATTTCTAGTTGATAATCCACAGATATCCAGAAGAGCCCAGCTGCCCTCATGAATAGGCTGTGGGTGTGGAAAAAAGACTCCAGATCTTTTAGATCTTGTGGAAAATCACAGAATGCTCAAACCAAAAGACCCTTCTGATGGTCAGTGTCAAAATTATGATGCAAACACTGCTCATCAGTCCTCAGCCCACCTGGGAAACATGCATGAACCTGGGCATCCAAGGAAAATTATCTTAAATATACCAACACCCATCACGTGGCCATGTCCTAAAAATATATAACCTACACAGATATGGTCAGAACGGAGCATGATGAATATCCTGATGTTCCAGTTACTCTCCATCCTCCTATATTTGATGTACAGAGGTAGAGCCCCAATGCAGAACACCCCAAAAAGCCTCTAACAGTTGATTGTGAGCTGCATCCTAAGAGGGAATTGCTGGAGGACCCCCAGGTGGATGGATAGATGGATGGAGACTGGTGAAGCAGAGCTGAGCTCCTGCAGGCTGGAGATGTGAGGAGCAAGGGGTTGGTTTCACCACAGGAATTTTGCATGAGGAGCTGGCAGGGAATGACTCCCCTGGCTTGTCCTGTGCCTCACCACTGGCACCACCACGGACCAAGGGAGTGGGTGCTGCTCTGCCTCTCCCCAGCTCTCATGGAAAAGGGAGTGGCAGAGCTGGAGAGACAGTATGAGGTGAGAATGGATTAGAGTGAAAAATAAGGGGGAAGGAGGAAAACAGAGCTCTCAGCACGAACCCATGTGCTGGGAGGGCATCGGCTCCAAGCACAGGCCATGTGTTGGTGACACACACTTGGCACTTGTTTTTACATCCAGCGGTACAAGGACTTGTCAGAGGTAACTAAAGACCACCAGGAGCCTTCATCCAGAGCTCAGACAGTGGAAACTCTTCCATCAACACTCCCTCCCTGCCAGCTCCTCTCCTTTTCTTCCTTGTCTCACCTCCGGGTTGCGGCCGGCATCTCGACTGGAATTACCTCGGGCTGCTGCTGCACCAGCTCTGACCTCTGCTGCGAATGTTTTCGGGGCAGAGGAGACTGATGTGGAGTCCTGGCTGATCAGTGTGAGCTGAGCGCCCTGGTCTGCTGCCCCCTCCAGCCACAGACGTGATGGGGTGGGGAGGGGGAGGTGGTTTTCGGGCTGTTGTGGCAAATTTACTCCATGATTTATAGGAAGGAAAAATGCGTTTGGAATTTAAAACTGTTAGTAGCTCCTCTCGGTGTTACCTGTGCCCGCATGTATGTAACATATATACAGTATAAACCTTTATAAAAATAAAACCTAATAAAAAGGAGCAGGGGGAGGGGTGTTTGCCAGCCTGGCAGGCACAAAGCGCTGGGAATGCGAAGGAAGTTTTATAATCACCGTGGCATTTCCAGCGCGTTTGGCCACAAAAGCTCCGGGTTGAATGGCTTAGCATCCCCCTCTCCGTCTCTCCTTGCATCACAAAGCTCAGAAGCACCATTTGAAGTTTCAAAAGGAACGCGTTTTTTGTGAATGAGATAATCAGCGCCGACTAATCTGCCACGCGCCCCTCCTTGTAATCCGCACACCTCCAATTGAGGGAACAAAGCCGGGTCCAGCTAATCCCGCGGGGTCCTGCCTTGAAGCTGTTGCACGGTCCCTGTGGCAGGAGCGGAGGTGGGAAGGATTATGCTGCCAAGAGCAGATGCATGTCTGCGTTCTTACAGCCTGGCCCCTTGTTGTGCATAATTCCAGGTAATGAACTTCAGGCTTGAGCCACCAGGCACGTCTGGGTCCCCACAACGATGGGGCAGAAGTGACCCCATTAACCAGATGCACAGGATCCATGTGGGAAAGCACCTGCTGCCACGAGCCCCAGAGATCTGAGCCCTGCAGGTGGGACAGGGTGGGTGAAGCATCTCACCCCCGAGATTGCCACCTCCTCCATCACCTGAGAACAGGTTTTCACCACCACTTTATATCCTGGATAGGAGGTGAAACCACTTCCCAGCTCATAAATGGTGCCAGGCTGCTGCACTGAGAGTCGCAGGACCAGGGGGAAGGGAAAACCCTCGTGCTCAGAGTACCCGAGGAGAGGGAGGGGAGCTGTGCTGGAGTCTGGGCTGCTCATGCATTTCACATACAGAGCCACTGGATCAAACAAACAGCAAAGCCCCAGGAGAAATCCCAGAGGCTCTTAAATCCCATATTTCCTCATTGCTATGGAAGAAGCGTGCGCTGTGCGGGGAAAGGTGAGCGGGAGCAGGCGTGTGCCTGTGTGTGTGAGCGTGCACACAGGCACACCTGCGGTGGCAAAGAGCACGTTTCTGACCCCAGGGCTCACCCCACATCATCTGCAGGAGTCAATTTGCTGATAAAAACAGGCTTGGAGCTGCCTCACTGGAACAAACAGGAGCAGAGAACATCCGTCCTTGGGATCTAAACTTGCTGTGCTGTTACAGACTGCACCCCAATTAAAACCACAAAAAGCTGTCTTCCCCTTTCTCTAAAATCCACTCCAGAAGAAAAGAAGCTGTTCCTGATATACTGCAGTAAAAGCAATCCAGTTGACTGTCTTTGGAGAGCTCTGCTCTCTCCAGAAGGAGGAATCTCTCCCGCATCCATGCACGCTCATTCCTGCTCTGTGCCTCTCTGAAGGGAGCCATCACTCTCTTCAAAACACTCTCCCGTAGTCAGCAGTGATAGGCAATGTAATAATACCTTTTATTGGGTCAATACATCAGCTGGAAAGCAGAAGCCACCCTTTTCTGCAGGTGATGGCCAAGGATTGACCCATGTGAGTGTGCAGGCCGGGGTATTACGGCTCTTGGTCCAGCCCCACAGGCAGGAGGGAACATTTACCTCTCTTGGTTTGTCTTCTGGTGCTTTATTGCATTTCCTCTTTTCTGAGCTGCCTTAATAAAACATCTTTCTGAAGGGCTCTCCACTGTGTAGTAAATATCCTCCCTCATCCGCCAACTTGGATAGGGATCAATCAATCAGAGGAAGTCCTTTGGGATGCCAGGGAGCATCATTCAAGGTTAGGCACCTGACAGGCAAGTGACAGCAGAAGGATTGCAATGCTTCTGCTTGGAATTAACCCCCCTGCTGCTTGCCAAAAAAATAAAAGCAGGATGGGAGAGTCCTCCAAAGATGGGGAAAGTTTCATCTCTCATCCCCACCTGGGTTTCGTTAAACAGCCTGGGGGAAAACAGGCATCAGTGAAATCAGCCATCTGGGTGGCTTGGTGTGTAGCACAGAAACTCCTTGGGCTCTCCTGCCAGTGGATATGGAGATTTAACCATGGATTGAGGGGCATCACACATTCAAGGACCTGGGAACCTCCCCGTTGTGAGATGGGGCAGGACCAGGGTGTAACAAACCCCACGGGCAAGGCCTGGTGGGGGCTGGTTTGCTTTGTGCTGCTCAGGAACAACATGAAATGCCTTTTCTAGCTGGCAAGCCCAAGGGTGGCACCACTTTGGTGGGCACAGGAGCTGCCTGGTGTGAACCCAGCCTGGCTGAGCTCAGTGACAGACCAGGTGACAAGACACCTCTCCCCATGAAAAGAGTTTTGTGATAAAGCCTCAGCAACAAGGTTTTATTGCTGCCTATGCTTCCTTTGCAGGCATCTCTGACATTAACCCTTTGGTGCTCTCCAGAAAGGAAAGGGGAATCCAAAAGATTAATTTATTGCTCCATTATTAACACATTAAACTGTCAATAGCTGCCTTTGGTGGCCTGCAGTGCCAGAGGGGAGTGTGGCAGCTCTTCTGGAAGGAAGCTGCGACCATAAGTAACGATGACCTTTTAATTGGTCCATTATAAGGTCGGAGCTTGGTCACCACACCGGGAGAGTTCACTAAGCAGTTAATCCATTTAGCAGAGTCTGTGTCTATGGAGAGGATGTAAGTGGTGTGGTTGTTGTCTAAGCTGCATTTGAGAGTCATTAAAGGGTTGCTTTCTGCCGGAAGAGTCGTGTTTTAACAGCATTAGCTCCCGGCTCCACCAGGCAAGCCCTGGTGAATTACCCTGCACTGAACTGCAGCTATAGATTTCATCTTATAGTTTCTGTGTGTAATGAATGACAGCTCTCAGACATCCTAGAAGAGGCTTCTAATGGCAACTGGCACGTGGCAGCAGATGATACAGCCAGGGAGTGAATTAAAGCCGAGCTCTCCGCAGACAGCTCCTCTCCAGCTGGGCCGAGGACAAGAGGCTGCGTGCTGGGAAACATGTTTGCAGGATGAGTCTCATGATTTCATACTTTCATAATTTCATAATTTGTATCCTTCAAAAGGTTTGTCCTAAGGGGGGGGGGAGGCATCACTGTTTAGTTGCAGAACCCCCTGACCAGACAGCACCCACCAAATTCTGTCCTCCAACATGGAGTCCAGAGGCTTGTGCAGGATGAGACAACACTGATTGAGAAGGATGGGATCAGAGGAGGTTTAGGTTGGATATTGTCCTCCCATTCATGCCTTCACACTCCCATCTCTCCAAGTTTCTTTCCTCCAAAGCAGATCATCATGAGGGAGCTGGGATTGTTCAGCCTGGAGAGGAGGAGGCTCAGGGGAGACCTCACTCTCTGCAACTCCCTGACAGGAGGGGGAAGCCAGGGGGGGTCGGGCTCTGCTCCAGGGAACCAGCAGTAGGACAAGAGGGCTCGGCCTCGAGCTGGGCCAGGGCAGGGTCAGGTTGAACATTAGGAAGGAATGTTTTCCATGGAGAGTGCTCAGTCATTGGAATGGGCTGCCCAGGGAGGGGGTGGAGTCCCCATCCCTGGAGGTGTTTAAGGACAGACTGGATGTGGCATCAGTGCCATGGGCTGGGAACCACGGTGGGGTTGGAGCAAGGGTTGGGCTGGATGATCTTTGAGGGCTTTTCCAATCCAGCTGATTCTGTGATTCTCTGATTCTGTGATTCTACGATTCTACAATTCTATGACCATCGTTGCACTGCCACGACCTCCCACCCCAGACCCATCTGCATCCAAACCCACTCTCGTGCTCAGCAGCAGCCCAGATTAGTTCCTTGTAAACAGAAGCCTCTTTGTGCCCAAGCCCTGACCTTTGACTCGGCTCCTGATCCCTGCAGATTCCATGTGTCCTGCTATTTGTCTTGCTGCTCCCTGGGAAGAAGAAAAGGAGTGGGGAGGCGGCGCGTGGCCGGGAGCTGAATGGAGCGGGGCTCTATTCTTGGCTCCAGCTCAGACTTCCTCCCTGACCCCTGGAAAAATGGCTTACTCTGTCTATTCTTGGGCAGCACAGGGTCATACTCAGCTGCTGTGGATGTCCACTGGAAGTGCTCGTAGCTGTGGGAAGATCAAAGGGTGGAGGATAAATTTGGCTGGAGCCTGTGTTGTTGTGCTCAAGCCTAAAACCCAAATCTGGACTTTCCAGGAGATCAGATGGACAAGGACTGTGAGGAAACAAGAGGAACTGCGTAGTTTTACTGCCACACTTTCCTCTTCTCCTATACCTTCATCATCATCACATCACAGCCTTCCACAGCACAGCTTCCTCCTCCTCTGTGCAGGTTAAATCCAGACCTCACATGTGCACCTTTCTCCTCACCTTTGGGGACACTGGTCTTACTGATGCCCCTCCATGTATTTATTGCTTCTGCCAGCCTCAATCCTGGAAAAAGGGCCAACATTTTGTCAGTTCTCAAGTTTCAGGTTGCTAAACCCGTCTAGAGACGCAGCCTCTGGGTCTGTTCTCTGATACACCCAAAAACTTCTCATGGGCAAAAATGGATCACAGCAAATTGAAGGAAAACAGTAGTGTTTTATTGGTGCATGTGTGGTGCTCACCATGCCTGTGTCCTTCTGGGTCCCACAGGCAAAGGCACAGGTCACCCCCAGCAGAAAGAGTTGTCACTGTGAGTTGTCACCATCCTAAGGAGGTCCTGCAGGGATGGGAGGCATCTGGGAACAGGCTCCCCAGGGAGGTTGTGGAGTCTCCTCCTCTGGAGATACTCAAAAGCTGTCAGACACAATCCTGAGTGGATCCTGCAGAGAGGCTGGGCTAGACGACCTCCAGTGGTCCTTTCCAACCTCACCCATCCTATGATTCTACGACATCCATCCAAATCCTAGTGTAGGAGACTGGGAAGAGGTATTAACTTGCATTATGCATGAAAAGAAGGTCACGTTTCATACACCCAGGCTTCAGCCAGACACCCACAGGCAACCTGTGGATCCTGTTGAAAGGATCTTAGAAAGCCCCTCCTGGGCATTGCCGTGTTGGAAAGACCCAACAGTGCAGTTTACTGTGCTTATTGCCTTCCTGCCTTCAAGAGTTGCTCCATCATCATCCTCACAGCAGCTTTTCCATGGAGATGATGACCCCCAACTGTATTTCAGACCATTCAGTGGCAGGACGAACCAGGGAAGACAAAGCTGAGCATCCCGGGTGGATGCACCATCCCCCAGGCTGGATGTGGGACTGACTCCACCCTCAAGCCCACAAAGGTCAAATCCCAAATTCTTAGAACTCATTGAAAGCCCAGACACAAGATTAATTTGACTGACAAAGAACTAATTGGTTTCGGGACTAATTAAGTACATATACTTGTCTTTGCTTAATCAGTGAAATTTCCAATGGCATTAAAGTGTCCAAGAACACAAATCCCCAGAGATTTAAAGCAAATAGTTAAAATCAACTTAGATCCAATTATCATATAAATCACTAATGACCTGGGTAAATTGGAAGCTCTTTGGCTCGGCCTCTGGGGAAGAATAAACCTTATAAAAATGAACATGCTACCTGGATTAATACACAGGCTCAGGGGACTCCACTGCAAATATTCCAACAGGACTTTTTCCAGTGACATTGTTATTCATCACAAAATGCCAATATTTCAAAACAAGCAGGTTTCACGGGAAGGTTTTGATGAAACTTTCAGCAGGAACTTTGTGTTCAGCATCCAGAGCTATAATCACTCAAGAATAGCCATTTATCCATCGCTGGACCCATTCCTGCTGAGCCCTTTAACTGGAGGGCAATTAGTAATTTCCAGCCCTGTCTTCCCACATTCTGCTTTTCATCTTGCTCGTGGTCACAGCCTGATACTCCATTTATTAAAAAAGAAAAAAAGAAGGTGATTAAAGACTTTGGGTTTGGTCTAACGAAAAAAAAATTTTGGGACACGCCCTGAGATAATCAGAGTTTTTAAAATTAATTAATTAAATGAAAAGAGGTGGTGGACAGAGAACACCAGGTATCTTCCTTGACTAATTTCAGTTGTCATTCAAACCATTCAAATTCAGATTTACAAATCTGAGGGAAGACCACAGAGTATTTTGGTGACTGAAGCTGCACGATGGATAAAAGACATCACAGAACAACACAGGAAACACCTCTAATAGGTTTATTTTTTCATCCACACTCATTTTTAGGTGAAAGCTACAGGTGGATCCCAGAAAACCTAATCTCCACTAACCACTTAAGCTGTCTCATCCTGACCTGTTTATTTTGCCAGCACAGATTCCAACTTTATTCTCCATTCATGGGAATCTGAGGCTTGTAAAAAATTGGCATGAAGAAAGAAGGAATAAAAAAAAGTTTAAATATAAGAATAATATATTAAATGCAGTTTTTATGCACCCAGTGATTACAAACCCTAGGGTTTACGCCTCCCAAATTGCAATGCACATTAGGAAATGCTGCCAATACAATCAAAGTCTTCCCCTCCCAACTTCAGGGTTCAGCCAGGAACTGCTCCCAGTCAGAATCCCACCCCTTCCAGAATGCTTGTTTTAGTGTGTGATTTCCTAATGCCCCTCCAAAGAGTTAATGAGTGCAGAGAGGCATGAATGGGATAAAGAATTAACAG